CGCAGCCAGCTGTCCAGCGCCGCCTGCAGCTCCATCACCCTGCCCTCCAGACCCGCGACCGCCGCCAGCCCTGCAGCAACTGCCGCATCCTCCGCGTTCAGCGCGGGGAGGCGGGGGCGGGACGGAGCCGGAGGCGGAGAGGGAGGCGCCTCCTCGATCTCCGACGTGCCGCACGGTGGGCCGAGGAGAAGATGGCGGGGGAGGGGGACGCCTGAGCCGCCGGCGTGCCAGTTGGCCGCCGCCGCATCCCCAGCCGGCCGCCGCGGCTCGCCCGCGCTGCTCTCCAGGACGAGAGCAGGGGGCAGGTCGTCGGCGTCGGCCGCCTTTTGCTTCCCCTTCTCCGCGGCGCTGAGGCGGCCACCGTGCATCGTCTCGTATGGCTTCCTTGTCCCCGGCCGTCGCCGCCCGGCCGCCGCGGCTAGGGTTTCGGACAAGACTGGGGAGGCGAGTGGTGACTGGTGAGCCGGAGGAGCCCAGGAGCCGGACGCGCCGTATGGGAGAAGCCACTGCCGGAACAAGCGCGGTTTTTATCAGTGTGTCGCTGCGCCACAATGCCCAACATTTTGGAAGGAAAAAAAAAAGATTTAGCAAAAGGCAAGCTTGTTGTGGAAGCCTGGAAGAAGGGGCCCTTCGTGGTTGTGTTCGTGTGAACACGTTTGCTGGGCGTACTACTGGCCAACAGAAGGGCCTCGATATTTGTGCGGCATTTACTGTGCCTGCCATTTGTCATTTCCCAGGAGCGGTTGCAGAGCCTTGGCGTGCAACTCTTCTTCAAGCAAACAGCTTTATATTCTTTCTTTTTTTCCTAAAAGAAAGAATGGTAAGAAAAAAAAACAAAACAGGCAAATCGAAATGGTACGAGTGGCGTTGTCAAAAGGTAAAATATAAACGCAATAATAATCAAAGTTACATTTTTAGAACTGTGATGGATCCAGGATAAAAGTTTAGGGGACTAAAAGCTCATCTAAGACATCAAATCTCTTTTCCTTATAGTAGTCATGGCAAAAATTCTTAATAGGCTCTAGAGGGTCCATGAGATCAGGGCAGTAGGGGGCTTGAGACCCGCCCCGTCGCTAGATCCGTCCTTTTAGAACATAGATGTGTAAATTAAAATAATATTCGGCACATAAGTAGTACTCACTCTACCAAGGTATAAACACGTAATTCTAGAGTGGGGAGTGCCCCATAAAAAAAATTGCAACTTTAGAGATGCACTAGCATAAAGTAGTTAAGACAGACCCACTGAAAAAAAAAAAAGAAACTACATTTGTTCTCTCTCGTGCTGCTCCATTCAGGGCCTGTTTAGAACGTAGGAATTTCATATGAATCGTACAGAAATTTCACAGGAATCAGTTCAATTTCACAGAAAAACACTGGAACAGGAGAATTTTTCCGCGTTCCAAACAAGCCCTCATCTTCTTTCTTGTACTCCTTTCATTCAACATTTCTCTCACACTCCTTTGCGATGAATAGAAATTTAGGGGCACATGTATCATTTTCTACCTTCACTGGTCTTTCATGGGAATCTAGACTTCTTCTCCAAGCAAATAGCTTTATATTCTCCTTTTTTCCTAAAAGAAATAATGGTAGGAAAAACAAAACCTTCAAGCCAGGAAAATCGAAATGTTATGAGTTGCATTGTCAAAAGGTATTTTTCCATAGAAGTATAATATAAACACAATAATAATAATCAAAGTTACATTTTTGGAACATAGATGTGTAAATTAAAATAATGCTTGGCACCGTAAGCAGTACTCACTCTATCCAGGTAACATGTACTTAAGACCAACCCACTGAGCAAAAAACACAACTACATTTGTTCTCTCACTTGTGCTCCCTCATTCATCTTCTTTCATGTACTCCTTCAATTCATCTTTTCTCTCGCCCTCCTTTTGCGATGGATAGAAATTTAGGGGCACATGTATCATTTTCCACCTTCATCGGTCGTTCTTGGGAATCTAGACTTACATTCTTTCACGGATTTGTGTGTGTGTGTGGTGGGTGGGGGGGGGATAAGGAAATAAATAATTTTATGTGGATGGAGTTCTTTGTACCATCGAAGCCAATGTAATGTATTGAGTACTCTAAAGTATTTGAGTTCTTAGGATAGTTGAAAATGGGCTAATGGGAGTAAGTCTACATTTTGCAAAAAAAAAAACTAACCCTTCTTATTCTACTTCGACGACACGTCTTTTTTCTAAGTTCCCTTAATATAATGGATCAGCTCTTTCACTGCCATTTTTTTTGTTATGGTGTGGGGGACCTTATGTTCCTCAGAGTTAACTGGGTGCTCAAATTCCTTCTCGACATAAACTCATGTGCTTGCACTGTAGCTTACAAATGGAAAAGACACAGACAAATTGGTGCCCTGCGAGAAAGAAGCACCGCAGCGCCATGGAGCAATAGCAGCAGCAGGAGGAGGAGGAGAGACCGGGTCGCTTGAGCTTTTCGTTGATGTTGTGGGTTCTTATATTAGTTTTCACAGATACCAGAACAACGCTACTCATGTGTTCTAGACTAGAATGTTAGCCCCGTTTATCTTACAAGAACATCTCCAACAATAGCCCCTAAATCAGGGACCCTACTTGGAGTTTGAGGGCTCACCTACTTTTGAGCCCATATTCAACTATCAACACCAGCAACATCTTCTATATCCTGGCCCTCAAATTTATGGGACCCACTAGTTATTGGGTTCAATTTTTTTCTTCTCCGTCTCCCTCAGGCCTCTGGTCCACCAAAATACTCCTTTCTCCTCCCTTTCGCCCGGATCTCTACATTCCTCTCCTTCAACCTCGTGTGGAGCTACCGGTGCGAGGCAACACCAATCAAGCACATGTGCGGCCCAATTCGATGGACAACGGCGTGGTGAGGCAGCGGTCAAACGACACCGAAGATCATGTAGGTGTTCGGATGGACTGGATTTGATGGATGGCGAGCTCGATTCAATGACGATTGACTTCAATTCAGCGGGTTTTCAATTACGCATGGGGGATTAATGACTTCAACACCCAAAGTAGGGGCCGGGGAGACAGATCCCAAGATTGAGGCCCGAGGAGGTTGATTGGAGGGCATCGTCCCTAATTAGAGGGCTTGAGTATGGACCCTATTAGAGTTGTATTTTTCTTTGAACCCTTAAATTTTGGTTTAGAGGTTCGAGTAGGACTCTATTGGAGTTGCTCTTAAGAGCAGGCCACGACCATCTCCATTTGGTCCAATTTGTAGTCCACGCGCTTGGGGTTCCTGTGCAGAAACTAGAAACGGAACTGCTAGCGCCCGGACATCCGATCCGGGCCCGGACGCCCCTGAGCGCTCGACCCCCCTCGTCCGCTTCCCGGTCCGCACTCCCCCAGCGCGCGCCCCTTCATAGTTCCGCACGCCCCTTCCTAGTCCGCACGCCCCCAACACGTCCCCCGGCCCAATCCGCATGCCACCAGATCGCCCCACAGCCCGTCACGTCCACCCATGCTCGCGACAAGCATGTTGCATCCCCAACGCCCCCCATGGCCACAGCACCTCCGCCCGCTAGGCCCCGGCGAACCCTGTGCCCCCGTTCGCCCAGCTCACCCCTCCCCGGCCGAATAACATAGAAAGATAGAATAAAACACGTGCAACAACGCGGAACAACTACTGCAACATTGCGCCGAAGCAGCTGAAACACCATGAACATATTATTGCAACAACACGGAATAACTGCTGCAACATTTGGATGAAGCAGCTAAAATGCCATAAACATATTATTGCAACATCACGAACAAACAATGCAACATTAGGCTAAAAGCATATGAAACAACGCTCGAATAAAAACACTTGCAACAACATGGGACAACTACTACAACATGATACTGAAGCAACTGAAACATTTCGAAAGTATTGTTGCAACATTTGTTCGAAGCATATGAAACATCTAGGTCAGAATGATTGCAACATCGTCTAGAAACAAGTGAAACATTTTTGAAACAGTGCTTGCAACAAAATCTTTGAAAACCCGTTGAAACATGGGCAAAGCATCCCCCAGATCTACTTGTGCAACATCCTTACGATTCAACTGCAACATACCTCTGAAGCATCTGAAACAACTAAAAGATATAATTGCAACATATAGGGGGGGAGCCCTGCACGGGGAGCGCCATGGTCGCCAGGTCTGAGGGCGTCAGGAGCTCCCTATGGGGGAGGACGCCGTGTGTCGGGGAGGGGCGCCACCGGGGTGAGGAGGAGGGAGCCGGGGTGAGGGAGGAGGACGCCGGGGACGGGGAAGGAGACATCGGTGTGGGAGAAGGAGCCGCCGTGTAGGGGAGGACGCTGGTGTCGGGGATGGGCGCCGCCGGGGTGGGGGAGGAGGACGCCGGAGTGGGAGAGGACGCCGCCGCCGGCGGCCAGGGAGGGAGCAAGGTGTGTGGAGGATGGGCGGAAGGCAGGGAGGTGCGCGGTGCTGCGGAGCGCAGTCGGGGGCGCGCGGTGTTGCGGAGCGCAGTCGGGGGCGCGCGGCGCTCCTGGATCCATGGGGGGAGGAGAGGGAGAGGGAGAGGAGAGGAGCAGCGATAGCGAACGTGTGGACGGGCTGTGAAATGAACTGCAGTGCGAGTGGATAAGGCCATGAGAGACGAGTGGAGGAGGACGCGCGGCCGCCGTATCCAATAGTTATCTGACGCGCATCCGGAACCGTCGAACGTCAGAGTCATAGTATTATCGAACTAGAAACTAGAAAGCCTCAGACCCTCACTGGTCTTCACTGATAGGCCTTGGTAGTAGTCAAATGGCGTAGTAATGTCATTGTTGGTTGCAGTAGATAAGTTTGATGCATTATGATCCTGTAATGGTATCGTTATTATTTTTCCACCATGAAGATTTTTCTTTTATTTTCTAATGGACTATATTTTGCACCGAGGAAAACTTGGTTGATGAGGTAGAACAAAAGAAAACAATACATGCATACATAAACCTGATTACCGAAACAATAATTGTGAATACATATAACTCTCTGTACACAGCGCATGGCGTAGTTAAAATACACTCAGCAAAGACACCAAAACAAAGATGCAATGGATACATGTATAGTCTGACAAAGCACACATCCAGAAATCAAGCATGGAGCAGCGCAACTGCTGCCGAGAGCACGACGACGGCGACGGGAAAACCGACGTGGCGGCCTTGCCGCCGGTGGTGCTCCCGCCGGAGGATTCCGCGGTCTGGGTCACCTTCGTCCCGGTTCCAGCTGCTGCGTGCATCAAGGGACAAGGAGCCACACACGTAACACGTTAGTTATTAGCTCACCAAACACATCTGCTACTTCCTGCCGTACAATTTTTGAACAGAGAGTCAATGACTTGTATTATAATTTATACATTTATACGTATCCGCCTCACACTCATATACTACTCTTATAACAAATAATGTACAATTCACTCGTACGTATCTGTTGCATGTACAATTTTTGTACAACTACGACTCAGCACTGTACAGTTAGAGATACACGTACCAGCGGGAGCAGCTGGCACGGACGCCGCCGCCGCTGTGCTCGCCGGAGTTGTGGACGATGGTGTGGTGGCCGGCGATGTCGGCGACGATGGCACGGGTACCCCGACGGCTGCAAGACAAAGTCGCTCGCCGTTGAATCAACCATGGCAATAATGACAAAGAGAGATCAATCGCAAGGAGCAAAAGGCGGCGCGCGGCCGAGCATCTATATACGTACACTTGCACTCGCTAGGCGGCGGCGTCTTGACGTTGCATGCGCCGGGGAGCTCGAGCGCGCGCGTGTTGTTGACGGTGACGCCGAGCGAGGAGGCGCCGCCGCCGAGCACCGTGCACAGGCACCGCGGGTTGGACGCCACCACGCTGGACAGCGCGGAGCAGCACGATGCCCTGGGCGACGTGCTATTGCCAGATATGTAGCCCAGGCACGGGTACAGGCTCACCATCTCCGTCAAGCAGCTGCCCGACCCCGACGACGGCGCCGGCGCCGAGGAGGACTGCGCCGCGCCGGGGCCGGCCAGGAGGAGGAGCGCGGCCAGGGGGACGACGGCCAGCGCCAAGCTGCTGCTTGCTCGCGATGAGGCCATTGCGGGAACTCGAACTCCTTTTTTTGTGTCCTGTAAACCGTGATCCTGTCACCTGTGCACGTGTGTGTTGTTTCTTGTTTGTTTGTGCTTTGAGCTGCTTTGGCTGTGGATTGTGGGTAGCTTTTCGTGTGGTTTATATAGGGGTGCATGCTGGTGTTAGATTCGCGGCTTGGGATCGGTGAACTACTCTTCCTACTACTGACAGCGCTATCATCGATGCTTGGCTGTTGTTAATTCAGCGACATGATCCAAATTCAGAGGTGATCAGTGATGTGTGTACGGAGATTTTTTTTTAAGGTTAAGTCCAATTTACACCCTCCAACTTGCAGCAAAGTTCGAATTTCAACCTCGAACTTCAAAACCGGACAACTTTGGTCCTCCAACTCTCGAAAAAGTTCAACTTTCAACTTTTTGAAAACAGAACTTTTTGATATTTTCAGAGTTTTGCGGTGATTTTTGAGCAGTAACTTTTGATATTTTGAGGGTTTTCTATTTCGCATAAAATTTTTTCTATATTATATTTTTTGAGCATCTTAAAATCCTCAAATGAAAAAAACTCAAAACTACAAAGTTGTAGATCGGATGAAGTCTACAATTTACATATAAAAATTATCTTCATCCGACACAACGTATTGATGGGTTTTCTATTTTTGAAAAATTTGAGTCTCATCATAGCGATAAAATATGGTGCTGAAATGAAGATTTTATATATTGTTTTTCGAGCATCTTTGTCCTCAAATGAGGAAAAAACTCAAAAATAATATAAAATTTCAGCATCTCATATTTTATTGATGAGATTCAAATTTCAAAAAATAGAAAACCCTTCCAATACGATGTCGGATGAAGTTAATTTTATATGTAAATTGTAGTATTGATGAGATCTACAACTTTGTAGTTTTGAGTTTTTTCATTTGAGGACGTTAAGATGCTCGAAAAAATAATATAAAATTTCGGCGCTCCCGAAAATATCAAAAGTTACTGTTCACCCGCAAAACCGCCAAGGAGGTTGAAAGTTGAACTTTTTCGAGAGTTGGAGGGCCAAAGTTGTCCGGTTTTGAAGTTTGAGATTGAAATCCAAACTTTGCTGCAAGTTGGAGGATGTAAATTGGACTTAACTCCTTTTTTTTATATAACGAAATAGGAAGAGTAGCTAGCTCTACTCCCCTTGATTGGTGGAACCAGGGGTGGATTGGTAGGTTTGTTGGATGTGTGTGACCTGTAGCGAGCTACTTTATGCGCTCTAGAATGGAGCGTGGAAGATGCTTCCCGTCACGTAAGGATGTGCCAAAAACAGGTTGTTTTAGTCCCTCCTAATAACCAATTTTTTTCATTCACTTAGTGTCTTGTTGCTATATTTATACCGCTTTATTACTATACTTACAATGATAATGTAATTTATTAGACAGAGTGGTGTAATTTGAGAATAATATAAATATATGTCAAATTTTTCACAAAAAAATTATAAATTATTTCTATGGATTTCAGACATCTGGAGAAATATATGTCAAATTATTCACAAATGCCATCAAATTGTTCACAAATTTTAGAAAAAAATTGCAGATCCACTGCTCGAGTGCTCCTCCCACCGGCAATGGCAGCCGCGCCGGTTGCAACGTCCCCCGCCCTGTTGGCTGCGTGCCCGCGGGCGCTCCAGTGCTGAGGAAGACGTACCGCCTCCGTGTCGGCAGCCTGACGTCGTTGTCGGCGCTCAACTTCGCGATGGAGGGCCACTCCATGACGGTGGTGGAGGCGGATGGCCACTACGTGAGGGCCCCGTTGTCGTGGACAGCCTCTACGTCTACTCCGGCAACGCAGCGGACCTCCGTGGGCCTAGGGGCGGCGGCGGCGGCACACAGCAGCTTCAGGCGGCGGCTCATAGCGGCTTCAGGCGGAAGACGCAGCACGATCGGGTGGCAGAGGCAGCGCGACTACCACATCGGACAACCCAGAATTCGGTTGCCAAACAAACCCAAATCAACCGGTTATCATATAGCAATTCTGTTACATAACTATCAGCGACATCCAAATATCCAATGCATTTTGCAACAAAAAAATGCAATTCCACGAACAACTAAATAAAACCTATTTTTCTCGTTGTCGTCACTTTGACCCTTTGGGTTGTTGTAACTTGTTGTCCAATTTGGACTTTTCTTTTTAATATAATAATTGTCAGTTTTCCTGTATGGTTCGTTTTAGTATAAAAACAAAAAAATAGAACCTATTTTCAGTTTTTTTAGAAAAAACTAAATCGAGTTCCATCCAGTTGGGATGGGTGCATGCAAACACAGGCGCCTACCATGCAATTGTGAGTGAACTATTGGCAGAATATTAACAAAGCTTCCTCTATGATTATTCACCTTCTGAAGGAAGAACTGAGTTGTCTTATAGCACTAGTATATTACTATCTCAGTCCTATAATATAATATATATATAAGATACCCAAGCATTAAACTTGTCCTAAATTGACTCTAGATATATGTAGATCCTCAAAATTCACATTATATCTACCATTAATGTCTATCACCGATCCAAATATGATAATTAGGAAGGGTTATATGTTATTTATTTTATCATATAATATGTCTTAAAATTGGTTTGATAGCCTTTTAGGACGGAGTGAGTAGTAAAGATGCTGGAACGGCTGCCTTCTCCCTTTTTCCCCCACGACGGCTATTATTTGGGTACAACTACAGCATCTCATTGTAGCTGTTTTTTTTTCTAATTCCCCACGGAGGAATTAGAATATCATGACTATTTCCTGCATGTTGTCCAAAGCAGGGTAGATGGATCAGAAACCTTGGGCATGATTGGTTGCCTGCTCCATCCAGCCTGCATGTATCCAGGCATCCCCATGGCAGCCATGCTCAAGAGATGCAATAGACTATTGTTTGGTTGCTTGTTTCATCTCATCCTGGCCCATTAGAGCTGGTGTTTGGTTGCAAGGCTGCACGGAAATATGCAAGCAATAGATGCAGGTAGTATGTTTGGTTGCGTGAACGAAACTAGTTGTTGTAACCTCTTTGCATGCAATGGTGAGGTCACCTCTTCCCCGGCCGACAAATGAATGAAAGTAGTTGTTGTCACCTCTTTGCCAACGCCTGAACTTGGACCAGCCTTCGGAGCCACCACCGACAAGTAGAACAGGCAGCGGAGGCTGTGGAACCGCCGCCACTAACGGGGATGAGGGAGTCGTTGCGGCCTCCCAGTCTGGGATGGGTCGACGTCGATTTTGCCATGACACAGTAGACCAGCAACCGGTGAACACAGATCTGGGAGCGGGTTGAAGGGATTTGGGCTTGGGTGCTCGATCTGCGGGTGGGTGGTGTGGCCTCGTCGGGGGGAGGGGGGCGGTGGGCTGAGCGAGAGGCATGTTCGGAAGAGTAGCCTTCATCTCCTACTAAGAAAACACTAGGATGTCAGCTGTATATTTTCGTGTCTCAAGCCACTTTCATTTGTAATTCAAGAAATGGTGACATCTATAATTGATCCTTGGCAATTGAATGTTGATGGCTATATGTAAGGATCCCTGCTATGCCTAGAGGGGAGGGGTGTGAATAAGCTTGTTTAAAACAAACTCAAACTTTTGTTAGAAGCCTTCGCGACACTGCCGCTCTGCCAGACAAGCTCAAGATCACAATTCAAAATCCACCCAAAGGAAAATAGATCGAGTAATTTACTGAGCTTCCTAGGGTAGAGTAGAGCCTATTCCATCCGTTGGTAGTAGTCGGAAGCGCACGAATGAGTAGATTGAGGACCCAACCCTAGAATCACCACACAAACATGTATACCACAATATAAAGAAAGAACACGGGGATTTATTCCGTGGTTCAGCTTACCATGAAGGCTTGCCAACCCCTCCACATTGTTGAGGAAGCCACCAAGGCTTGGGTTTCAAGAACCATATCCTCTTTCTCAAGTTAAGAGAGCAAGTCACTTGAGATGAGACGTTCTTACTAGATTAGAGGGTGACTACAAACATTCAGGAGCTGACACATAAGTTGATGCACTTCGACGGGTGACGCCTAGCCGGCTAGGAGCAAGAGTTCTAAGAGTAACAAACACAATCCACTGGCTTGAACGCGAACCAAATGCTCTAGGAGTTGAAGAACATGTTGGAGTGCTCTCTATTGCAGTTTGGAGGCTCATTCTCTTAAAGAATCGGACGAGGAATCAAAGGGAGAAGCTTGAGGTGCTCCAATTGTGTGAGGGAGAGAGAGAGAGAGCTACTTTGGTCACACTAGAGAAGAGAATGGTTGGGATGACCGTTGGGAGGAGAAGGGAGATGAGAAATATCCCTTGGTCTCCAACGGTCACTTCAAGTCGCAGCAGTGCTGCTCTCCGAGCGGCATTGCAGCTCCACGAGCAGTGGTGCAGCTCAAGTCTGACAGCCACAAAGACAAGGAGTGAAAACTTGCTGTCAAGGCTGAGGGTTTAAGGATATTTAGTGGATGGTTTGAGCACCTGGTTGCACATTAAAACTTATGCATTGTATACCACTTTATATTACGGTTTTTCCTAAACTCAATTTTAAAATATAAAATAATTTAAACGTCTTTGAGTTGGTTGCCGTGTTCTTTTGTAGTTGGGGGCTCCACCATTTTATGTATTATGCTCCTTTTCATTTTATCTGCTTGTCATCTTGATAAATCTCATTAGTTCTCTAATTGCTTAGTCATTATCACTAAAATCCACAATTAAGGCTTGATTGCATTTACACAATACAAATTATTTCATCATAAAAATTTTTTCTCAGGTTGCAATGCACGAGCATGATCCTAGTAGAAGATATATTTGAGCACCACTTTCTCTAGGTTTTAAATAAATAAATCTTCTAAAAGGGTTTTGTTTGGCAAAAAACTATACTAATAATTTTGTGAAGAAAAAATTACAAAATGTTTACTCAAATTCGAAACCTAAATATTTGAAACTATTTATTTATTTAAAACATTATCCAAATATTTTTTATAAAAGTTTTATGCAACAAAATGACTTTTTTTATTGAGAGAGGAGAATGGAACTTTTCTTTTAAAAAGGAGAGAATAGAACGTGGGGAAAGTTGAAGGTGCAAGGACTTTTTCCAATAACTGGGTATTTTGATCTGACCGTGGAGCAACGTTAAGCCAGAAGAAACTGAATCTGGGCTTATTTTGCGGCATTTGAGCCCACCTCACCCAGGGCCCAAATTGCAAGTCGCAATGCATCCATTCCCCATTCCCCAACGGCCAACGCCAACCAAAGGCCAAACCCTAACCGCCGACCACCATGGCGGCGCCGTCGTCTCGGGATCCGGCGGCTCTGATGGACGAGCTCGTCGAGGAGTGCCTCCTCCGCCTCCCACCGGAGGACCACGCGGACCTCGCCCGCGCCGCCCTCGTCAGCAAGCAATGGCACCGCGTCGTCACCGGCGCCATCTTCCGCCGTAGGTACATCGAGTTCCACCGCTCGGCACCGCTGCTGGGCTACATGCTCAACCAAGACAACAATTCCATCCGCTTCGTCCCTACGTCGTCGTTTCGCCCGCCCCAGGTTGACCGCCGCGATGTGCGAGCCATCCACTCAAGGCATGGCCGCGTCCTCCTGCTTTCTGCCCGGGAGCGGGAGGGTGACGGTCTCCGCCTCTTGGTGTGGGATCCCACAAAGGACAAGCAGTGGGAACTGCCCGTGCTGCAGCCAGGCGCGCGGATAGCTAACTGGGACGCCGCCTTGGCCTGCGCCGTGGGCAACGGCTGCAGCCATCTGGACTGCCACTTCAAGGTCATCTTTGTGGGAAGATCTGGAGGGCGGAGGTTCTCTTGTTTCTACTCATCGGAGGCTGATAGCTGGAGTGACCCAATCTTTGTTTCGGAGAAAGGAGGATATGTTGCCTATGGTATGTACAAGAGTGTCCTCGTTGGGAATGCCTTCTACTTCAAAATCGGAGGCAGCGATGGAATCTTTAAGCTCGACCTGCAGACACATCAAATATGTAGGATTAGCCGAGTGTCCCCGCCCAGTCTGCTAATTGCCACAGAGGATGGCAGCATGCTAGGAGTTGCCAAGATAATAATCAACTCAACACTTTGCGTGTGGCTAAGGGAGCAAGGAAGATGGGTAGAAAGCAGACTCATTCAGCTTCGTGCTCTACTCCCAGATGATGCCCTGTGTGATCCGCTACTCCCACCTCAAACCAACATTGACAAACCTTCGGTGGTTGCCTTTTCAGAGACTGGAGCTGGTGTCATTTTCTTAAGGACATGTGTTGGGTATTTCACTATTGATCTGAACTCAGGGAGGAGCAAGAAGGTAGGGAATGCCGTCTTAGGCTCGGGTCACATTGTTCCCTACGTGAGCTTCTGCACCCCAGGTATATATTTCATTGTTTTTTAGTTTGCCCATTTGCACAAGAAGTATTAGTTCAACATGAAAATATGCTGGATTGCTATGGGCCCAGCAACATGGTGTTTTTTTGGGTGGACAAAAGTATGTCAGTGTGACATTTCAACCTCATGTAAAAACCAGATTACTCCTACTGCTACGTACTCCCTCTGTCCCAAATTATAAGTCGCTTTGACTTTTTTGATACATCGAATTCGCTATGTATCTAGATATTACGTATGTCTAAATACATCGCAAATTCGATGTACCCAAAAAAGTCAAAACGTCTTATAATTTGGAATGGAGGGAGTATATATTACCTACACGAGCTTCTACAGTCCAAATATTAGCCTCACGCTACTCTTTAATGATATATATGTTCCTCAATCATCTCCTGTATGCTAATGTCTCTTGATAACATTGTAGAAATACAAATAGGATACTTTCCTTCATCTGGACTAGTTTGATTCATCTTAATGATGTTGTGGATATGTGACCATTAATTAACTGGATAATAAATCAGTTCTGTTTTGTTGTCCATCGGAGGCAACTTGATGTCTCTTGTGTGATTTGTGTAGATCCAATGTTCATTGTCACCATCGATTCCTCATATTTTGTATTTGTGTTTCTTATGCAGCACCGGGAACAGTCTCCACAGATGTGGGACCAGGAGCTAGTGGTGTTGTCTCTACAGATGATGAACCTGGAGCTGGTGTTGTGGTCTCTAGAGATGAGGGGCTAGGAGATGTTGTTGTCTCTACAGATGAGGGGCCAGGAGATGTTTTGGTCTCTACAGATGAGGGACCAGGGCCTAGCATGTTAAGTGCATAAGCTCAAATTACAAGTACAAGGCCTTCTAAATCAAGAAGGAAATTACTAGAACAGAAGCATGTTTTTGGTGCGATATCTCTACATGATTTTGCTGCTGTGCTGGCCTTGTTCTGAAGCCTAAATGTCTAGTTCCTGATATTGGGAATAATTAGTAGTACTATTTATCTCTAAAATCTGTAGCTTGCTACTTAGTTTGAAGCTGTCTTGGGCTCATCTGCAAGATGGTAACTGAATCAGGATTGTACTCTCACTTTGAGCTTGGGAACTTGAGTTTGCAATCAAATTATGAGAATGCTATTGACTCGTGTGAAAGTATGACATATGGAATTAATGCTGTGTGTGATTGTGGAAAAATTTCCTCTTTTACTTGGAAGTGTAGTCGATTCAGCAAACACGAGCTATTTTGATGTAGCTTTAGCTGCAATTTTGGGGTAAATGCCAATAAACAACAATTGCTGGTTGCAAAATCCGTGGTGTTTGTATTTGTTTGCACAGAAGTAGGACCTCGTATAAAATTGGACATCATCATTATTGAGCTGTATAAAGACTAAAGAGTGTGTGAATTTCTCCTCTCTTTTTTACTCCCTGTAAAGAAGCATTGTATGTTTTTGTACAGTACTGAATTTGTCATTTGTAGGGTTGGGAAGTTCTTAAGTTCGTACACAAGTTTAAGCCTTCAAGTGTGGGGTAGATGTGTTGCAGCTAACAGAGCCAGAGAATTGTTCTCCTAATGCATTGTACCTAAATGTTTTGGATAGACACGTGCGCTGCACATGCTTGAGCAAGTGCCAGTGCAGTTTCCTGCTGGACGTAAGTTGAATTTCTAGGGCAGTTTGATGGAATCAGGGTCCTATGTTGTTCCAACATAGCAGGTCTTAAGCCCTGATGAATGAGAAAAGTTGTGATAGGCGTGGCGAGCCAACGTTAAATCTAGTTATTCTAATGGAGATGAAACCCGAAAGAAAATCGTTGGGGCGTAACCCTCTTAGCGACGCGCCATATCGAAACACAGGTTTAGTGTTAAATGGGCAAGGGCCGGGTCGGCACCCCCTTGTGACGCGTCGTGTCGTGATCTGGGCATGGTGTCAAGTGAGCAAGGATCGGGTCGTCGCTTCCTTAGTGGCGCGCTATATCGACGCCCGGGTGTAGTGAAAAATGAGCAAGGGTCTTCACATCTGAGTCGACGGGTGCGAAGGATAAGGAAGCTAATCGAACCAACTAGAATTCGTTTAGATAGTTGGAATATAGGGTCGCTTATAGGTAAGTTAAGAGAATTAGTTGATACCGCGACTAGGAGACGTGTAAATATATTATGCGTTCAAGAGACCAAATGGAAGGGTCAGAAGGCGAAGGAGGTGGACAATACAGGTTTCAAGCTTTGGTACACAGGGACAGTCGTGAATAGAAATAGAGTAGGAGTTTTGATCGATAAGAACCTCAAGAATGGTGTAATGGAAGTGAGAAGGCAATGAGATAGGATTATCTTAGTCAAGCTGGTCGTTGGTGATATGGTCTTGAACGTAATTAGTGCGTATGCCCCCCAAGTAGGTCTCAACGAGAGTGCTAAGAGACAGTTCTAGGAAGACTTAGATGGCCTGATTAAAGCTGTACCTAGTAGTGAGAAGCTTTTTATAGGAGAAGATCTTAATGGACATGTAGGTAGTACAAGTGCAGGTTTCGAGGCATTTCATGGAGGTTTTGGGTATGGTAGTAGAAATCAGGAGGGGGAGGAAGTTCTGGACTTCGCGGTAGCTTTTGACGTGATGATAGCCAACACTTTCTTTAGAAAAAGAGAATCTCATCTAGTGACGGACAACACGTTAGCCAGATTAACTTTGTCCTCGCAAGAAGAAAGGACAAACGAGCATGTTTGGGTTACAAGGTGATACCATGGGAGTGTGTTGTTTCTCAACATAAGCTTTTGGTGGCAGACTTTCTGTAACAACCCGGGTTTTTGGAGAAGCCAAAAACACGAACTTTTTAAAAATTTTCCTGCAATGTGTAAAACATGTAATTGCTAGGTCAAACATGAGTCCAACTCGCTAACAAGACGTTGCATACATGTAGATGGTTTGTAGGTGATTGCCGGAGTTTTCGAGTTGTCCTGTGTTTGAGTCTTGATTATTGTTGGAGAGCACAACCTATAGCAACCCACTGTGATCCTCGCGGGATTATTTTGAGTCTTCCGTTAATATCTCCTTATAACCTCGAACCCCACTAGAACCCGAACTTGCCATTTATATTTATGCCGACCATTGGACCGGAGTCCCTAAAACCTAAGACCCCTAGTAGACCACCACGATGAGTAAGCATGTTGTTAATACATGCGGGTACGCACATATAAGACCTAGGAGGTAAACGTGTTGGCAACCCATGTATTCCAATGTGAGAAACCCATGGCATAGAGTAGGATAGAAATAAGAAATAGAAAAGGAAAAGAAGACAGAGGAAAAAGAAAAGGGGCATCTGGCCCAAGTAACCGAACCAGCCCAACCCAGCCCCCCTTGCTTCTAGCCTGCTCGCGCGTGCGTGGCCTGCTTGGCCCAACCAGCACAGCAGCCCAACCGAACCCCCTCCCCTTGCCCCGCCGGCCCGTCTCGCACCGCACCAGCCCACGAGCACGCGAGCCTGCTGGCCCAGCCGTGCGGCCCACCAGCGCCTGGCCAAGCCAAAAGCCCCACTCCAACCCTAGGGCGCACGCGCCCTGGCCTCCAGACGCCGCCGCCGCCGCTCGCAACGCCTGCCCCCGCAAGCGCGTCCCGACAGCGCCCCGGCTTCCGCGCCGCTTGATGCGCGCCTGAAAGCTCTAGTTTGGTTTTGGTAAATTGATGAAATCCTAAGTGCTAACCTAGTTCATCAAGTGATCATGAGATAGGTAGCACACTTCAAGTAGAGAAGCAAATGAAGATCATAACATGACAATGGTGATAGCATGGAGATGATCAAGGGCTTAAACTTGAAGAGAAGAAAGAGAAAAACAAAAAGCTCAAGGCAAAGGTATAACTTGTAGGAGCTATTTTATTTTGGTGATCAAGACACTTAGAGAGTGTGATCACATTTAGGTTTGATAGCCGTACTATTAAGAGGGGTGAAACTCGTATCGGAATGCGGTTATCAAAGTGCCACTAGATGCTCTAACTCATTGCATATGCATTTAGGATCTAGTGGAGTGCTAACACCCTTGATAATATTTGTGTAAATATGCTACCACATGTGCACAAGGTGTTTGTAGGGTTGAGATGGGTTTGGGTCCCTCTCTTCTATTGCGCCGGATGCAAAATTCTTGGTGGTTGGCACACTTGAGCAAGGGTGAAGAAGTAAGAGTTGAAATGGAGTTGATCGAAATGATGCTGGCGTCAATCTCATCGTTCGATATTTGGTCACTCAAATGACCGGACGTCGAAAGGTGCATCCGGTCGAAATGTCGAGACAACCTGATGGCTAGGGTTGAGCACGGACGCCGGCGTCGTCGTCGGATCAAGGTGGACGGACGACGCGTCCGGTCGAAAAAAAACATGCCTCGGGAGCTTATTGAAACGACCGGACGGGAGCTTGGAGTCTCGTCGGTCGATTTTTAAAAGCGTCCGGTCGACTTCGGCACCGTTGAAATCTAACGAACAACGTTTGAAGCTAGTAACGTGGCGTCCATCGGGACAGGACTGACGGCGAGGGCCGGCGTCCGGTCAAGATGACCGAGCGTCCGATGAGCGCTGATGTGAAGGGGTATAACGGCTCTATTTGATTGGGGCTCTATTTAAGCCCCATGGCCGGCTGTGGCTCATATCTCTTGCACATTTTCATTGACATAGCAACCTTGTGAGCCTAGCTAAAGGACTCCCACTCATCTACATCATTGACTCATCATCATAGTGAGATTGGGAGTGATCCAAGTGCATTGCTTGAGTGATTGCATCTAGAGGCACTTAGAGATCGTGTTTCACTGCGGATTTTGCTTGTTACTCTTGGTGGTTGCCGCCACCTAGACGGCTTGGAGCAGCAAGGATCATTGAGTGGAGGAGGTGATTGTCTCCGGCTCCGATCGTGGTGATTGTGAGGGTTCTTGACCTTTCTTCGGGGAGCCAAAAGGTACTCTAGTAAATTGCTTGTGGCTTGTGTGATCCTCATCTTGTGTTGGTTGTGCAAAGACCCTATTGAGGGTTTGGCGAGTGATGCCAATCAAGCATGAACCTCCAAGTGAGTGAATCGCCACAATGAGGACTAGCTTTTGCGGCAAGCAAGTGAACCTCGGTAAAAATCATTGTGTTCATCATTTGATTCCGAGGTGATTGGTCTACATTGGTATTCATTATTGTGATTGATTGGTTCCTACCACTACACGGTGGTATAACTCTCTCTTGCTCACTCTTACATTACAATAAACTAGTTATCAAGCTCTTTAGTGTAGCTAGTTGTGAGAGCTTGTTTGTTTGATTAGTGTTGCTCTTTAGTTAGTCTTTGAGAGCACACTAATTTAGCTAAGCGTCATAGCTATTGTGTGGACATACACTAGAAATAAAATTGTGGTAGGTGGCTTGCATTTTAGTAGGCTAGCGCAACACTCAGCTCGCCACAAAATTGTCTAACACATTTTGTTAAGTGTTGTTGTAGAATTTTATTAGGCTATTCACCCCCCCCTCTAGCCATTAGGACCTTTCAGCGCCGCGTGTCCCCGCCTGCGCACGGACGTTGAGGATGGACGGAGCCCCTGGAAGCCCTAAGCCGCTCGCCCTATAAACACTGAAGCAGTCGGCACCCTCTCCAATCCTAGCATTGCACCCCATACTCCCTCTTCTTCTTCCTCCAAGCCTTGCCGTTCCTTCTTCTTCCTCCAGTCCACCGCCGCTCTCCACAACCGTCGCCACAACCACGACCTCGCTCTCCACCGAGCCCGACACCGCCGCTTGCCGAGCTCGCTGGAGGCACTCAACGCGACGCACCGCGTCAGCCGACGCCGGGCTCCATCGTCCTTCTTTGCCGGTGGTCCTCGCCGTCCACGGGCT